TTCACAGTACCTCCAGGTCCATGTGGACAACAGTGAGGTGTTGAGCAGGCCCCTGCTATGGGGGTGTTTGTGACCGGGTGGCTCAGACATATCATGGGTCACTGATTGTGTTTTCACAGTACCTCCAGGTCCATGTGGACAACAGTGAGGTGTTGAGCAGGCCCCTGCTATGGTGGTGTTTGTGACCGGGTGGCTCAGACATATCATGGGTCACTGATTGTGCCTTGGAGGAAGGCTGAGAACTTAGGCTATTTTTCTCTCTACATTAGCTGGGCAGCTAGACAGCAGCCAAGGCTGGGGGACAGAAGTAGCCAAGGCTACTGTAAAAAAAGGATTTTCTGAGGTTACTGACCAGGATATAAACACTGCATGCAAAATCCCCAAGTATCTCTATATTGAGAGCAACTAGATAAATTATTCAATTTCCTTTTTCAGAAATATATAAAAACTGGCCTCAACAAGCAAGTATTGCTCTGCTGGGAGGATAGTCCAGAATGGTTTAGAGTTTGGTTGTTTTTATTCTAAGGAGGTAATAGGGCATTTTAAGAAAGTTAGGTCAATATTTAAAACAATGCAGTCACTGCTTTAGAAAGGCAGTCTGCCAGGGATAAAAGCGGCCAATAGACCTGAGCTAGATAAGACTTTCTAAATTCCTTTATAAAAAATATTATACTACATTTTTCACTTCTGTGCTGAGCCTGGATCTGAATTCTAGGAAGTGAGACATAACCGGATCCATGCCCAGACAACTCATTATGATTATTACACAGAGGTTCATATCTATGTTTTTACACCACCAACTGTGACATAGTTTCAGACACTATTACAAACTGGGGGCAGCTAAAGAACAAATCAATTGGGAAGATTAAAAGTTTGGTGTGACTTTATTTTTTTATCTGCAATGACACTTAAAAAGTGAACTACTTTTTTCCTGTTTTGGCTAAAATAATTTCTAATAGAGGAAAGAACTCATTCTTATGAACAATTGTTCAGTGTTACAAATGTAGTTTTCATACTTTAAACATTTTCAGATCTTCAATATTATGTGGTAAATATAGCTCGAACATTAGAAGGAAAGAATTTTAGGAAAACAGAAAAAGGTATAAAGCATGGCATGACATTGTATCCTCTGATTGTGTGCAGAGATCAGGCACCAGACTAACACGTGACTTCAAACTGAAGATCTGCGACCCAGTCAGGGCAGAAAGGCTCAGAGACCTCTCTTTCTGGGGAAATAGTGTCGTGTGGTTAGAATAATACCACAGACACAGTTAGGCACTGGAGTATTGTTCCTGGCTTCACTGTCAACTCAGATCAGTGACTCCTTTTCTGAACTTCAATTTCCCAATCCTTAAAATGCATGGGTTGCAGTGACTGATAGTCAGGGGTGCCATTCTGAAATGTTTACTATTTATGCAGAGATGAGAAGATAGAGCCTGCTGGAGAAACATGGAAATATTATTTCTTGGAGAGAAGAGGGAAATATAGAGAAAGCAGGTCCTGAGAGTCACACTTAACACCCAGGGCCACCCTTAAGACCTGGCTGGACCTTGAGCCAGTGTCACTGCCACCCCACACCACAACTCCATGTATTTTCAAAGAAGGAGCAGCAGGCCCCTGATCCCACCTTGAGGGGCATGGGTATTGGTAAGGAGGCAGGATCACTTCCTCTCTGAGCTGACTGAGATTGTCAGTGGTGAGGGCCGTCTTAACCCTAGCTGAGCAATCCGAGGAGAGCAGGTGGTGAATTCCAATGTCAGGGCGAAGACAAAGCTGTGCCCCAGGACTTGCTAAGGAGCTCCTAGAACTGCAGGGGAGGAACAGAAGGCAACCCTGGAAAATCTCATGTTGACCTGTGGAAACAGGTGGCCATCGTCTACCTCCAGGGCCTAGCTTCCCTCAGAGGAAGTGTTTTGACATACTCCACCTGGCATTATCCACATTCTAAAAGACAGACCTCACTGTCATAAATTGTGGATGAGACTGAATTAGGCTGATGTTGATATTGAAACTCTGAACCACATATACTCGTATTCACGTCCAATTAGCACCTTTTCTCACCTTCACACACTGGGCAGCACTCCCCCTCGGGCACGTAGTACCTCTCACAGTTCAGCTCGCCACACTGGGCAGTGAAGCAGATGGAAACGCCCCCTTGGCATCGACAGAATCGACAGTTGTCCATTCGAAACATGTCTCCATCATAATACTCCACGTTGTTGAATACACAGGCTGGCTTTGTTTCTGAAAGGAGTTAAACAAGGCATATTCAAAGTCATTTTTCGGTGGGGTCCATTTAAATTTTTCAAAAAGCCTCTAGAAAATTTGGTCTGATAGCAGGAGGTTATAATTTGATGCAAGTTTACTAAACTTGATACAACTTTTATGTAGCAGAAGCAATAAAGCAAAGCAAAATAAAAGTAAAATAAAACAAACAACACATTGTTATCCTGTTTACAGCAAGGAATCGAAATTCAAGTTGGCAAAATCTACACTGACTTCCTCTCACCCCAAAGGAAGGTAAAACGGTTAAGACCACGAACCTCACATATCTGGTATGTTTTTTTTTGTTTTTTTTTGTGACCAGTAAGGGGATCGCAACCCTTGGCTCGGTGTGGTCCACACCACGCTCAGCCAGCGAGCGCACCGGCCATGCCTATATAGGATCCGAACCCGCGGCCTCGGCGCTATCAGCGCTGCACTCTCCCAAGTGAGCCACAGGGCCGGCCCCTGGTATGTTCTTTAAAGAGATTACATTTGTTTTGTTCTATTATTCTCCATCTCAAAAAATTTATTTAGGCCTTTTTGGAGGTGGTGATGTTCTGTTCCTTCAGTGTTCTTTCCTAAAGTCTTTCTCCTCTCTATCTGGCTTGGTAATCTATAGTTTTAATAGTGCTTGGCCTTTAACAAAACACTTTCTATATGCATTACCTCACTTAATCCCAATAACAAAGGTCTGATGTAGATGCTATTATCCTGAGTATAGAATTGAGGCAATACTAGGTAATTTGTTCAAAGTCACACGTTTAGCAAATAACAGAAGCTAAAACAGTACCCCTTCAACTAAAACCTAGTCCTATTTCCATTGTGTTTCAAGGTTATGTTCTGCTAAGAACTCACAGGCCCATATTTAGAACTCTCATTGTGATATCAATGATTTCAAAATTTTTCTTTGCCTTGCAACACTCTCGCTAAATTCATTCCTTATCTTTAATTTTGGTTGATTTAAAATAACTCCCACCAGACAAAGACATCACAAGAAAACAGAACTACGGGTCAATATCTCTTACGAACATAGACATAAAAATCCTCAAAAAAATTACATGCAGACCACATTCAGCAACAAATAGAAAGGATTATATACCATGACCAAGTGGGATTTATTCCAAGAATGCAAGATTGGTTTAACATCCCCAAATCAATGTAATATGACATGTCAATAGAATAAAGGACCAAAACCACAAGATCATCTCAATAGATGCAGAAAAAGCATTTGACAGATATGTGCTAATGCCTTCAGGAGGGTTTTTTTTGGCGGGGGGAGGGAGATTGATGGAAATCTTCAAAAATTGATTATGGTAATGATTGCACAACTTTGTGAATATACTAAAAACCACTGAATCGTACAACTTAAATTGTTGAATTACATGGTACATATCTCATAAAGATGTTAAAAGAAAGCACCCAAGCTGAAGAAAGTTCTCCTGAGCTGATGTACCCTGTTCAATCAGGTGGAGAAAGCTAGATAATGCTATTCCCACCTTTCATGGGCTCTTCCGTCTGTTCCCAAATCATTTCCTAATGGGTCACCTTGTGTGTCTGAAACACTTTCAGAAACATTCACTAAATTCTGAGTATATTTACATTTGTATTGTACTAAAGGACAATAACTTTCTCATTTGATTTTGTAACTACCCCATTGAAAAGACTACATGCATTAATATCCATTCTTTGATGAGGAAAATGAAATTTAAAGAGATTAGGGGGCTTGCCGAAAGTCACGTGAACACTGAGAGGAGCTGTGTGTCTATGTTCACACATGCTGTAAGTGTATATGTTTGGACTTCTTTCTTTACTGCTGGTTGAATGTAATATTTCTTTTTTCAGAAAATTAATGTTATATTAATCAACTGATGATTAATGCTATATAAGAATCATCTTATTATAGCTCAGAATTCTTCTATATACTTTTAACTTACATAGTAATCTGAGCTGGGATCGGAAAGAACTGGGCTGCTAGAGCTTAAGTTCCAAAAAGTACAGAAAATGAAGTGCTTTTATAAATCAAACTTGCATGCTGTGGACTGAGGCAAAGCACTGCACTCTAACAAAATGTAGAACATCCATTCAAACTGAAAAAAAAATCTTTATAAACCAATCAATATTAATTACTTAGCTGAGTTAATCAACCACCTCTACCACTGAGGTGATGCCACAAATCTTGGTGCAAGATTTGAAGACATGAGGAGGGAAGACCATGGTCATGTATAAAGCTGCTCCAGGTGGACTTGTTTTTACGGTAGGGTGTACAGATGCTTAAGTGGGGGTGGGGGGATGGGATTAATGAGAGGACTGGGGTGGTTAGGTTTCAGTAGCTACAGCACAGAAAGCAAAGGCAGAGAATTTAGAAAGATGGAGAGTCCCCAAAAACCCAGTCTGGAAAACACAATCAACGCTTTAGGGTAAAAAATCACCTAACACAACAAAATCTATGTCTGATGTTCAGAGAAATTTATTGAGGCTCTACAGAAAAGTGCATGATTAAGAAGGCAAGCCATGGTCTTTGAAGATCAATGACCAATTATTTCTTCACCTGTGGGGAATAGATGTGACTCTCAGAACAGTGTAGAGATTGCCTCTAACTCTACCAGAGGAAGATGTGAGTGGATGTGGAAAAGAAAAATGCCATGAAGAAATAATTTGCTAAGTAGTTTGTTCTTCTCAATGCAGAGATGCATAAAAGTATCATTTTAATGATTTTTGTATGTGTTTTGTGTCTGCTCAATTAAATTTTATGTTTCTAAGTTCGGGACTCTTCCCTTCACTCTTTTAATATATTCCAGAACTCCTGAAAAAGAGCCTTAAAATACAGACTATTAGTAAACTCTACTGCCTGACAAATTACACGGATTCACAGATGGTGATAGGTATATAGTTTTAGCAAAAAAAAGAAAAGAGACTAAAATGTAGAACTTCACATCCAATGTGAAAGTGGGAGGGAAAAAAAAGCCCAAATAGATACATTTCTGTTGCTTTTTTTTTTAGTGTCTCAGTAGGACATGGCTAATACCTTGCCCCTGGTCTCATTTCACTGGGAGATGAGCGGTATAGGAAGCAAGTGGAGAGGCATCAGAAGCCAAAAGAGAGATAAACGTTTGATGGAGGGGAACCATCTGACAACATGTCAAGTCAAGAGCAAACTGATATAATCACAAAGACAGGGTACATAGGCTTCCAAGTACCTGAAGTAAAACAACAACAACAAAAAACCAAAACACTTTTCTATGGTGGTGGGGGGAGGGGAGGAATGGGACAGTGTGTGCTGTGACAAGCAGATACTAGTTCAGGATAAAGGAAAGGAGACAGTACTTATAAAGGATTGCAGAAGACTGTACCACTCAAAATTAGCTTGATAAGGCCCTGGGAACACGAGAGGTGCTCAGTAAATACATAGTAGATGGAATATTTCTCTCAAAGTGCCAGATTCTCTCCATTCCTGTATTGGTAGACATTATGTCCCTAGAAACATTACTGAGCGTAACTGCTATACAAACAATGGGTTATGTATAGATGGTTTTTGAACTAGTTTTTTTTTTTTTTTTTTTTTTTTTTTTTTAACAGACTGCAGGTCTGGATTTTCTAGTCCAAAATTTTACATGAAGAGCAAGCCAATTGTGGGTATGGCCCTCCTGTCAATGATCCATGGTATATATTAATGTCAGAGAGAAAATTCAGTCAGGGCCAACATAAGATTGTTTCCAATTTTTATTAACTTTTTATATATGTCTGAATAAAACAGGAACTAATTACTTGGTGGGCAGCATGACCTTAATGAAGACTCCTAGTTATGAGTGCTCATTTAAAATCTACAATTTAATTCTGCTGAAAGAATCAGACTGCTGCAGAGACAGTGTTCTAACAGATAAAAGTGTTGAATGGCACAAAAACAGGCTAATAACACAAGCCAAGTCGCATCTGGTTCCCTTCATCTGAACTTACTTCGAAACACATGAAATTGCTTTTCGCTAGTCCTACTGCATACAAGTGATGCTCCTGCCCCATCCATCCACCACTCTTGGCACCCCTGGGAAGAGGAGGATATTATTCCTCTTTTATACTGATGACATGTTCTTACAGCTGTGAATGTGGACTAGCCTCAATATGTATCTGGCCCTGCTAACTATACTTCCATAATGAATGGCTCAGTATTAAATATTGTAAGGCTAAAAATATTTTTATTAGTTTCGAAACATTTATATCCAATAACTTAATACCAGAAACTAATTCATTCACTTACCTGGGGAACATTTTAAAACTAAGTCATGTTGGAAGAGTCAATTATTGGCTATGACATTCAAACCAAGATATTCTATTTTATATAGATGTTTGTCAAATACGTTGGACAACTGATCACATGAAAGCAACCAAATGACCACTTCTACATTCTGTGCCTGGGATTTCAAACCCTAATGCCTTCAGGAATGAGAGAGGTGGGCCAAGAGAGGATACTGTGACAACATGGCAAACGCATGCCCATCCAAAGGCAGAGGCCATCACTCAGCTCCAGCCGATTGCTGATAACACACTTGTGTGTGGCCAGAGTGGATGTAGAACTGTTTCCTGAAGGAGGTGTGGGATCATTCCACCACTGCTTTGGAGGTCATACTTCTAGGTGATGATTTTGATAACTTCTAAGTTTACATAAAAGGAACTCAGTCATATCACCTGTTCCTTTGGTTTCTAAACAACAGTGTTTTCATTCAACCAACACCTTATAAGTCCTACTTTTGGCCCTTGTCAGAGAATGCAGTCACAAACTGTCAGAATTCGGTTTGCAACTCTCCCATCCTTCCACCAAAACCAAACCAAACTGCAAAGACAAGAAATATTTATGAAGGATGTTCGCTCCATCTATTCATCTAGGCTAGTGTTTTCAAAACTCAGGAGCTCCTGAGTTCTGTGTGAATATTTTTAAATTTTATGTTTTCATTTTAATGCTGATCTTACAAAATAACATAAGGATATGGATCATCTGGATGGCAGCTTAGGAACTGAGCACTACCATGCCGCCTCTCTGGCTACATGTAGGGTGAGTTCTGTTAACATGCACCCCACTGTCTCCTGAACCAGGGTCTTTGGATCTATTCTGACATGCTGGGGAGTTCTCAGATTGAGAGTTGATACTCCAGGCACCTAGGGTCCAGCTGGGTCCATATCATCTCCTAGAACTGCTTTCACTGAGTTGCATTTTAATATTTTTTTTTTGCTTTTCATTGAGAATTATAGTCACAGGAAACCTGCTTTTGCATTTAAAGCAATTGAGCACTTGATCGACTTCATCATCCAGCACTTCCTTCCTTCCTTTCTTCTTTTTCTTTCTTTCTTTCTTCTCTCCCTCCTTCCTTCTCTCTCTCTTTTTCCTTCTTTCTTTCTCTCTCTCTCTCTCTCTCTCTCTCTCTCTCTCTCTCTCTCTCTTTCTCTCTTTCTTTTTCTTTCTTTCTGTGGTTGACTGGTGCGGGGACCTGAACCCATGACTGTGGTGTTATAAGGCTATACTCTAACCGACTGAGCTAACTGGCCAGCCCAGTGCTTCTTTTTTAATTTCCATGCGAGAAATCTCCACTAGAGAGGAAGTTACCCTGTCCAACAGGCTTTTTTCTTCTTCTAATAATAAGAATTGTGTATCTGACCCCATCTCCTTTTTCACTTTGACGGCTAGGAAGCAGGTGGCCTGATCTGATGTTTAGATTTGGTCACTACGTGGACACTACGGCTTACATACCTGTGGGAGCTTTCTACTTGATTTCACTTTCAACTTTTCCTTACAACTCTATGGCTATGATTCTCTTTTCTCATTAATATTTTACCACTATGTTATTGAATCTGTTCTCACTGTAAAGTTGCCTCAAATCCTCTGTGGATAAGCAAGCATACACACATACACAAAAACACAGATAACAGACCTCTGCTCTTCTATGTGATGATAATGAATCTTTTTTTTTTTTTCCTTTTTGTCTTTTTTACTGACCGGTAACGGGATCGCAACCCTCGGTGTCGCGCCCGCACCGGGGACCGGCAACGGGATCACAACCCTCGGCGTCGCGCCTGCACCACGCTCAGCCAGTGAGCGGGAACCGGTCTCCACATGGGATCTGAACCGTCGGCGGGAGCGCCGCCGCGCTCCCAAGCAGCGCACTCTCCAGTGCGCCACCGGGCTGGCCCATGATAATGAATCTTTGATATGTAATATCTTCTAATGGCAACCTTATGACAACGGCAAGATTTTTCTGGCATTGGGTGGTAAATATTTATATTTATATATATACCCAAACTCACCTATGAATGTGTGTGTGTGTGTGTGTATATGTCAAAAGAAGTAAGATTCAGACTTTGAGACAGAATGTCCTTAAAAATATTCTGTCGGATTATGATTCTTCATAGTATTATAGTTTCTAGTCTCCTCCATGATGGAATGACTGATATAGAGACACTACAGCAGGACAAGAAATAAAGCAAAGATCACCCAACAAGTTGATTGTGGCAGGAAAGAGGCAACCACCAGAAACACAATGGCTGTTTTGTTGTCTCAACAGTTTCTCACGGCGGATGGCAAATCCTATTCCTGAAGTCAGGGTACCGAAAAAGCGGTTATAAACAGGGGCAGGCCTAAAGACTATCTCAAGGCTGCTGAGGTAGGGTCATAGCTATGTGCTGTCTGAGACACATCAGAATGGAATGAGATGCAGAGTTAACATCCCAATAGGAAAGGCATGACACTTGGGTTTCCAGAACCAAGAAGCAAGGAGAGAAGAAAGGCACGTTAGTTCCTCATGCAGAAGAAACAACGCAAGCTTTATTACTGCAGGGGATATTCCAGGGGAAAAGTGACTTATGAGCAAAGTGCAGGGCAGTAAAAGATGGAGGATGCCCATGAAGTAATCCTTCTGTGGGCTGGTATTTAACAGCCACCTCTAGAGGGAACTAAGAAGATCTGAACCAGACCACTCCCTGACTCACTCAACAAACTCTAGGTGCCCGCTGTCAGGCAGATAATATGGTAATATCCACAGACAAAAGGATGAATGTGATTGACTCCTGTCGTTTGGCAGTCCATTCTAGAATGACAGACACACATAAGAGTAAGTGTTTGCAGAATGCTGAGTTACTGGAAGGAAGCATATCCCAGATGCTGGGAGCCCAGGGTAAGGAGTGACTATTTCTGTCTCAAATGGTATGAGTTATATATTCACAGACCATTTACAATAAATTAAATTGCAGCGGGGCCAGAGAAAAAAGGTCTGCTTGGCCACTCGCAGGTGTTTAGCTAATATTACCACTGGCTGGATGATAAAGGGCAGAAGCACTGAGAAGGGATTTGTGTATGGGGACCTTTCTCTGCACTCCTCCCTGCATGCCTATATTTATAAGGTCTGTGAGTCAGGAAGCTCAACCTTCCCATCTCCACCCCGACCTCAATGCCCAGAACACAGTCTGGATGTGGATGGGAGGTGGGCACACAGAATACTGACTGTCTGTACTTGAGGCACAGTTCCAAGTGCTTCAAATGTAATTCACCTCATTCAATTTACTGTTATTCACTCCATTTCACAGTTGTGGGAAGTGAGGCCCAGGGAGACCAAGAAACTTCCTCAAAGTTGCACAGCCAGTAAGTGGAGGAACAGATTTTTCAAACTGAGGTCATTTGATTCTAGCCTGTGCTCTCTCTTAACCACAAAGCCATACTGTACGTGTTTCTTCAGAGCAAAGCAAAACGAAACATGTGGCCACTGGATTAAAAACCACAGAACGGAGTCAAATAGGATTCAACGTTAATGTGACCTTTTCTTGTGGGGAAGGGGAGCTCGGGAAGAGGGCAGGAAACCTTCTGAAGTCTGGATTCTCACAGGCAGCAGTTAGTATGGATGTTTCTGCACAGGTAATTTTGTTGTACTTATTAAATCCATCTCCACCTTCCTGTGGTGTGCAGGCATTGACTAGATAATGCTCTGTGCAATTACTGACATCTCACTTGTTTGAGTTTTATTCTTTTTTTTTTTTTTTTCCTGAAAATTCTGGTAGGGGAGATGTTTTAGGTTCTCCTCCCTTCCAGCATCTAAATTCAATAATCACCACCTCACCGAACACCAAACTCTCTCATGAAAGGTGAAAGGAAGAGGTTGATTTTGTTTGAAGGTAGCTTGTGACCAAAGAATCCTTTTTCTGGGCCACAAGGGTCAAGCTAAAGTATGCCAATCCCAACAACCAACCACTGGTCAAAGATGTTCTCTCCAAGGAGGAAAACACTAAACTAGATGAACAATGTCTTTTCTATTCCAAATTGTGGTAGCTCCTATGCAGTTTGAGTCCGATTCCCTCCTGACAGCAATGGGTGACACAGGAGGAATATGACAGGCTCCAGGATCCTTTTCCTGAACTCCCCACATTTCTGAAATTCTGAAACACAGCAGAGTTTGACAACTATATGCAATCTGCTATTCAATTTCCAAAATTCTCCTCCTAACGGATGGAATGATGATTCCTGTCCTGACACTCTTTACTGAACGGTGGGATTTTAAGCAAAGCTTTTTTCTGAGTAAGTTTCAGCCAGTCCCTGAATAGATTCCCTGCTTTGTAAAAGGCAGAAGCAGCTACGTTGAACCCTCCCTCCTCCTCCTGCACAAATGTACACTCTCCGAGAACAAGAGAAACTCCACGTACCATTAACACATTCAAAGACATCACAGCACTTTCCAGGTGTCCCATCTCCACGAGAGACTATGCGGGGAGTGGATCCCACCTCACACACGGGGAAACCACATAAGCCAGAGAGACACTCGCATCTGAAACCAAAGAAAAGGGAAGGAAAACCCCATGAATAAACAACAACATAGAAGTCGGGAGACCACAAACAAAGTGGCAGTGGCTGTGGCAAAGTACCTGGTCTACATGACGCTGCCTCATTTATCTGGTGTCACTGGGAAATGGAAACGGGGAGGATTCTAACATAACTTGCTTTCCAACTAGCTATGGCTCATCTCCTGTATGTATAACCCAATTTTTAACTTAAACCATTTTGACAGAAATATTTCTAAAATGTATTACCTCATTTCTTACTTAACCAGACTGGTACTGAGCATCACAAACATTTTCTGGATGATTCAGGACCATCCATATATGCACACATTATACTACTCTGTAAATCAATGAAACTAGCATGTCTCACACAGAATAAGCTCCTGGGTTAAATGGCCCCATGCTGCTGCTTTGTTGCTATTGATGTTTAGGTGTTTTGCAGAGATTTTCCTGACTCTTCTTTCAATGTTTAAGTTATTAGCTTGTCAGTCTTTTCTTGTCAGTGTGATTGTCTGTAGTAGCACTCTGATCTTGAGCAACTTTTGTTATAATTGTGTACGATACAAGAAATATACTGAAGGCTGAGGAGCTCTTTATAAATAGAGGGCATGCACTTTAGTGAGTGGACTTTGTGACAGCTCTCTTGGAAGCTGAAAGTCTTAATTTTGGGGGTCTTTTCAGCTTCCAAATGTGCATTTCTCTCTACGTGTGTGAATGGGGTTTTCCATGAACTGCAAGCCAGCTGTGCAGGTTCTCACCCTTCACTTCAATTCTTCTGAGAAACCTGCCTGAACATAGCAACCTGGAAAAATGGGCAGGTAAAGTAAGAGCAGATGAAACGTGGTATCTGCTACAGTGCAACAGGAGGCAGGAAATGAGAAGCACAGGGCAACTGGGTGTCAGCATGTAAACGTAACGTAAGGAGCAGCTAGACTTCTGTACTGGGACTCCCCTGGGGACAGAAGCATGGGTCAGAGGGTGCAGAGGATGATGAAGAGAGTTCCCAGGTTGACAGGAGTAAAAGGAAGGCATCCTAAAAAAAGACATCCTGGCAGGAAATGTGTAGGTATTTATGTACAGTAGTGGTCAAGATCAGGGGAGGGAACATTCCCAGCAGGGAAGAACTACTAACACATTCATTAATTCTGTTTCTTTTCCATCTAGTTAAGTGATTGGTTTGTTCTCCTATTGTTCTTTGGATCGTTAATAAATTAAAATATGCTTGTAGTCCACAAGTACGTCAATAATCAGGCCCAGAGAGTTAGTTACATTTAGAGTTAACTGTGGGACTAGAAAAGAAATGTTTAAGTTAAAATTTGCACCAAAGACCATTAAAGCCACTGGAAAGGTGTGAATGACCTCCCACTCCAACCCCAAGGCAGGCCCTTTCAGGATTCTTTTCATGGAAGGTGACAGTTACATTGGATTCTTGGGAGAAGAGGGTGTTATGTTGGATAGTTAAGGTTTTGCTTCACTGGTACTTCTACCTATGGTTTAAAATAAAGATTTGCCTTTATTTTTCTCAATTCATGGTCTGTATTTCTGCAGGACAATCACCTTCTAGGGCTGAGTTCATGTGAGCTGGGTTTTTAGTGCCTGGGAAGTTATCCCATACTCTTTCATGCTTATGTGCCTAGCCACTGCAGTTTTGAATACATAATCATATCAGTGTAATATTATGGTGACACTATATTGTTTACATTTACTGCACTTGACACTCTGTACCACTTAAACTCTTTAGCGTTTACAGATGAATGGGGCTAGAGTATTGAGAGGCCACACCCTGATCTCCAAATCTAGGTGTAATTACAGTGGCAGCATCCTACAAGAAGAGCGGGCTAACCTTTCCTTACACATCTTTGAGTATTCACAGTCTTGCTTACTGTGATGTGCTGTCAGGAGTCATTCTAATTTAAACACCAAAGAGCATACAATGAACCAAAAAAACACCTCTTTAGATGTTGTCCTTCAAAACTTCAGCAACCTTTACTGAACACGTATGTGCATTCACTTACTCTCTGCTAGGCTGTTAGAAATCACACCACAGTGAAAACCATGACTAAGTCTACCCTTAGTCTTTTTTTCCCCCCACTTTTCTGTTTGACCTGTTTCTCAACATTTAAATATCTCTGTTGTTTTTTTAGAGACCATACAGGTTGTCTCCAGCATGTTGCAGATCTGAAACGCCACACAGCTGCCTATTAACCCACTTAGGAAAGGAAAACTCTTTATGCTGAATTTTTATCTCTAAACCCAGAACGACATTAAGGATCCCAGGATCTCGATTCCCTAGATCTCCCTAGCTGGCGTGCTCCTGGCTCCTGTCCTCCTGTCAGCTTCTCCCTCGCAAGGCCTCCTTATCTGTTGCCATCTTTTGACTTCTCACAGCTTCCTCTGAGCCTAATATTAGCACCTTAATGAAGGAACACAAAAAGTAAATGTCTGCCTTCATGTCGGATACCTCTCAGGCAGTCATCAGGTTGAAACCTTGTGAAACCGCCAGTTTTGCAGGTCGAAAATGGTCCAATACAATCCCATATTGTTCAATGTAATAGAACCCACATGAGTTATCTTTTGACAGATATGTCCATGTTCAGTCATATTTGCTCAGAAAATGTATTATATCTACAAATTATGTGAGCACAATGTTGTTTTAAAAAATTCTTTAGTAAGACTGTTCTAGACTCTCTGGTTTATTTACACTGCAGGTAGGTATTCTTCCCTTTTATAGATGACACTAGTGGGGCACACAGCTTAATCCACTGGCCTGAAATCACACAGGGTTGGTTTCCTGCTGTCTGTGTTTTCCCCCAGAAGAGACTAGTTTCTCTTCTACCGAGTATGAAAAGGAGATGCTGAATTACAGAACGACTGAAGCATGCAAATTATACCTTGTCCTGACCACTTTCCCCCCTGATTTCCAGCTCTCATCAGGTCTCCCCTCACCTGTCTCTCCCACCCCATTCCACCCCCACCCTGAGGCTCAGTTCCTAGACTTTCGTAGACAAACATCTTGAGCTGCTTCTCACTTTGTTCATTGATTTTTCAGCCGGGCATTCATCACTCTGCAGTGCACATGCCCTTTTTCCAAGCCCACCTTCCCTGCACTTCCTCATGCTGCGGGCACACTCTACTCTCCATACGAGGCCATGTGGCCATCTCTGCACTGCTTGCCTTACTGCTCCTGTGCTCTCCTCATCCAGCCCCCTTGTCCCCTGTCTTTCTTGGCCAACCTCAGAGACCAGCTCCACCTTGCAAGCCCCAAACTCCACGCTTTTCTCACAGCCCTCTCTCACTCTGTTTTATGGTGACCTGAGGACTCCTCTTAGCACAAGCTTTTTTTGTACCTATCGTGTACAGTCACTGTATTTCTTAAATGGAACAGAACTAGACATGAAAAAAAGAGGGATAATATTAACTAAAGAAACAAAAACATAAAAGAAAGTGAGAACCAGAGCACTGAGATTTCTAGATGGTGAACTCGAAAAGGCCACTCTAGGCAGACTATTTGCACAGCACCTTGAGCAGAAGTGCTAAGGGCTTTAAAACAGAACAAAATAGCTTTACTGAGATATGATTCACATACAGTAACATCCACCCTTTTAAAGTGAGTAATTCAGTTGTTTTATATTTACAGGATTGTGCAACCATCAGTGGTACCTAATTTCAGTACATTTTCATCACCTCAAAAAGAAACCCTGTACCCACTAGCAGTCACTCCCCATCCCCACCCACTCCCCAAGCCCCTGGCAACCACTAATTTATGTTCTGTCTCTAAAGACTTGCCTCTCCAGGACAGTTCACATAAATGGAATCATACAATATGTGGGCTAAGGGCTTTTTAACTTCAAACAAGAAGCAACCTGTATTTGCAATTTGCCAGAAAAAAACAAGCCTCTAATGTTATCATCAGTATTAAGATAATGATCAATCAAGGCACCACATTAATAAATTTTTGCATAATGTAATCACAGCTGCAGCCAGGTGGGACTTGGCTAAGCTATCTTTTTTTTTTGCTTGAGTAGGTAATGGATTCATTCAGCTTAGTGGGCATCTGAGCGCCTGAGGACAATGATAAACAGCACTCAGAAATCATCTACGCCCCTAGAGGGCACTCCCCTCCATAGGAGGTCCACACTGGCCGGCTCTGTGGGCTGGAAGGTGGCAAGTGCATACTTAGGCTTCCCCTTCTATTCCTTTGCTTCCTGGACTACACGCACAATTCCAGGCAGGCCAGAAGCCAGAGTCCTAGCTCCTGGGCACAGCTTACAAAGGTGTTCACAAATCTGGCCTCTACTTCCCTTTTCGTTTCCCTACTGCCATTCACTGAATCCTCCCCCAGCCCGCCCCTTATCACTTCATACCACAGCTCATATGCCCACCCAGCCCCAAATCCCTGCCTCTCCTTTGCCTCTGGCAAACTCCCCAGAGCCCTTAAGACCACTCACCCTACAAGGCCTTCTCTTGTCAAAAAACAGCCAGGATTAATTTTCCCTCCTCTGACCTTCAACAGTACACAGGGGTACCTGACTCTCCAAGTGTACTTGTTCATCATACTAAATCAAAATCATACCGTTTCTCCTGTGAATTCCTTTAGTGCTGGGGGCTGCCTTATTTGTCTTATAAATGATAAAAATGAATGATAAGCCATCCAAACAATAATCTGGAGTAAGCATTTTTTTTTTCCTGGCTCTTAAGTCAGAAGTGAGAGCATGCATTGTTTTTATATTTTTATAAATTTTAGACTAAGAGCTTACAGATGCAGTGTTTTCCAAAATCAGCATGTGGACGGAAAGAGTATGGAATTTGTTTAAAATGCAGATTCCAGGGTACCACACCTGAGGATTATTTTTCTCCAGGTTTGGGCAGGGGCTCTGGAATCTGCCTATATAATAAGCTCTCCAGGAGATGCCCCTGGAGAGAATCTGAGAGCCACTTTCTGAGGACCTCGTGCCTAGATGTGCAGGATCTGGGTCACCACAGTTTA